CTCTCTCTCTCTCTCTCTGCCTCTGCCTCTCACGCTCTGCCTCTCCACTCGACCGCTGGCTGTTGGAGCGCTCGCCTGCGTGTTGGATTCGCGCCCTTTCTTCTCAAAACGTCACAACTACTCGCACGAAAGAGACAATCAGCTGGGCGGAAGGAAAGTTGGAAATTGTGATCGATTTGGGAATTTGGAGTCGGGGCAGCCGGCCAGTCTATTCCCACCCGCCTCTGAGGGCAGAGAGGGCAAAGCCGGAACCGACGCGGAGAGGGAGCAGAGGCCAGTCGGTGGTCGCTCACCACGCTGGGCTGCCGCCTTGAAATCGAAAGGCAGATCGCAGCGGCACTTCCGAAGAGCGAAGATCCCCTCAGCCAAGTCACTGTCGGCACCTCCGCCATCTCATCATCACCATCACCATCACCACCTCCTCGTCATCACCCACCGCCGTCGCGTCTCTTTCACAATGGCTATGCTTCCTCGCGCCGCGCGCCCCGCCATGGCCGCCATCCACTCGGCCGCCCCCGTCGCCATCGCCGCCCGCGCCGGATTCCACTCGTCCGCTCCCCAGGCCGCCTCCCTCCGCGAGACCGAACAGCGCATCAAGTCGGTCAAGAACATCGAAAAGATCACCAAGGTAGGTCGTCATCGCATCACGCCATCTCCCCGCCAAGCGCCATCCAATCAGCATTCCCAAACCAGCTTTTCAAGCGCCGAGCCGCACTGCGCCCTCACATCCAGCATCGATCCCACCCGCACCACATGCATCCTCAGCGCACCATTCTGACACTCGATCTCTGCGCGCTGTCTATCTCGCATCGACTCGCCTAAACAGTCCATGAAGATGATCGCCTCCACCAAACTCAACAAGGCCCAGCGCGCCATGGCCGCTGCCAAGGCCTATGGTGACGCCAACAACGGTAAGTTTTGCCTCCACACCCACCGCCCTCTCTCTCAATCCGACACGCTCGCTCAACATTCCACCCACACCGCTTTTCTCACACAAACACTGCAGAGATCTTCAAGAACTCCGAGGCCGTCGCTCCCGAGGGTGGCCGCCAGCTCTTCATCGTCGTCTCCTCCGACAAGGGTCTCTGCGGCGGTATCCACTCCTCCGTCACAAAGCGCACCAAGGCCGAGTTCAACAAGATCGGCGCTGCCGCCGGCGACGCCAACTCCTCCGAGGGCCCCGCCATCATCATCCTCGGCGAAAAGTCCAAAGCCCAGCTTGGCCGTGCGCTCCCCAAGAACATCTCGCTCTCCTTCAACCAGATCGGCAAGGACGTCCCCACCTTCGCCGACGCAACCGCCATCGCAGACCAGATCATCAAGTCTGGCATCAAGTTTGACAAGGTCAACCTCATCTACAACAAGTACGTCTCCGCAATCTCGTTCGAGTCCGACGTCATGGAGGTCTTCTCCGAAGACGCCCTCCGCAACGCCACCCAGTTCAAGCTCTACGAGCAGGAGGACGACGTCACCAAGGACCTCGCCGAGTTCGCCTTCGCCAACGCCGTCTACGCCGCCCTCGTCGAGGGTCACGCCTCCGAGATCAACTCCAAGCGTAACGCCATGGACAACGCCTCCAAGAACGCAGGCGACATGATCTCCAACCTCAACATGATCTACAACCGTGGTCGACAGGCCGCCATCACCAACGACCTCGTCGACATCATCACCGGTGCCTCCGCTCTTTAAGCGTGCCCGAACCGAACAACATCGACGACTTCCCCTCTCGCCTAGATCTTTCGTCGTCAATTTCAATGCAACCCCTGTGATTCTCTGAGCGCTTTCCCAGCCGAGACGTGAGAGCAACAATCTGATTATTGATGGACGACCGCACACTCCAGAAGCAATCGCCCCCGCCGGTGCTGCTTTGAATCGTTCAACCTGGCCTTTGAGCATGATTTGAGTCGACCAAGCTGCTTGGGTTAGACCTTGCGCCCAAGTCGAGCGAGCTATCACTCTGCCCTCTCACCAGTCAATGCACCCGGCGTCTCCGCGAAACAGTCGAGAGGGCGGTGCAGGGAAATCTCGTCATGAGCCCAAAACCGAAACGGATTGATATCCGCAATGCTGAACCAGGCAGACATCAAGCTTCGTTAGCGTAGTTGGATTATCGCAT